AGCTGTATCTGGGTAAGCTGTATCTGGTTAAGCTGTATCTGGTTAAGCTGTATCTGGTTAAGCGGTTAACCTGTATCTGGTTAAGCTGTATCTGGTTAAGCTGTATCTGGTTAAGCTGTATCTGGGTAAGCTGTATCTGGTTAAGCTGTATTGGGTAAGCATGTCCCCGAACACAGCCGTTTCCCAGCAGGCCGTCACCGGTTTAAGTGTCTGAGTGCTAATATCAGATGTCAGCGTTGTGTTTCTAAAGTAAAAAATGACCTTTGAGCAAATCCTCAACAGGTCACGCTCTTTAGAGCTCAAAATTGCTCTTCTTGTCTCACTCTCGTCTGCTTTCTCTCGAGGTGCCGGACAAACAGGCCTTTAGTGGCCGGCGTGCTTGGCCCTCGGCAACCGTAACCCGGGGCAACGGCTCATTGAGGCCGGTTCCCTTTCAGACAGGAAGTGTCAGATATAATTAGATTTTCCGGAGACTCGACGCTTTGATCCTCTCGCCGCTTCAGTGACTCTGCCGGTGAGACGCCTGTTGATCAGGGTTAGGATCAGGGGTGACCAGCGTACGGGCTCTGGTTTTCCAGAACACACATCTAAACATTCATAAATCAAGATACATTTACTGGAGAAGAAGTAACATGAGTGAAGATATAAGGCTTGCTTACTGAAAAATGAGTTTATTCTTAAAACAAGAACAAATATCTGCCAAATATCAGTGGGGTCAGAAAAATAAACTTATTTCGAAAGGGAAAACTCCATTGGCTGATATTTGTTCTTGTTTTAAGCACAAACTCACTTCATTTTAATCAATATTTCAAACTTATATCTTCAGTCATTGTTCTTCTCCAGTAAATGTATCCTGATGTAAGAATGTTTAGTTGTTTGTGCTGGAGAATGAGACAGAAACACTGAGGGAGTGTGAAGTCAAAATAACATTCACTGCATTTATTCAGTCAACATTTGCTTTTATTTGCAAAATTCTTTTTTACTTTCTTAGTACACAGTCCTGGTCATATTGTGATTGATTGATTAATTGCTGCACATTATTATTAATAAAAAGAAACGTCTGTTTTTTTTAAAGCTAATAATTAATTAAATTATAAAATGTCAATTTAATATATGAATAATAATAAAAAAATTGTTTATTAGTTTAACATTAGAGAATCGTGAACTTGCGAATGTGTTGTTAAATTATCAAAATATTAACCTTAAGTAAATGATTTTACTAATAGTCAAAAGTAATTAAAAGCATTTTTTAGACTACATTAGTGGATCAAATCTTATCTGTTACTCAATCACTCTTTCACTCAGAAATGCATCAGTAAAATGGTTCATGAATATGTTTATGTTGACTTTAAGACGGCCGTTTTCATATCAGGTGCCTTTGCTTGATGGTTTCGGTCACTCCTTCTGTAGGAGGACAATTTTATTGCTCAAACGTTGCTCTTTCACAGCTTATCCGAGTTAGATCTCATTTTTTCTTAGATTTTTTCTTATTTAGGTCTTTTTCTCAGGAGAAACATCTGAGACTTCTCGGTTTGCTGTATATTTGCTATATGAGAAGATATAAAGCATTGATCAAAAACTGTTTTCTTGACAGAGATGTGTTGATGAGAGGAAAGCACATGCATATTCTGAAGCATTGTGAGTCCTCCAGAGCCGCAGAAACCTCAAGTGCTTCTGTGTTTTGACTGTCTATTCAATCTTTAAGAGCTCTTCAAGACGCAACACTCTCCTGTGAGGAGATTAAACAGACACACACTCACCGAAACACTGCATGCACACACACTTATACGAGACTGTACACTGCAAAAACATGGTGTTCTTCCTCAGTGTTTCTGTCTTGTTTTCCAGAACAAACATCTAAACATTCTTAAATCAAGACACATTTACGAAGAACAATGACTGAAGATATTAAGTCTTGCTTACTGAAAAATTAGTTTATGGTTAAAACAAGAACAAATATCTGCCAGTGGGGTCAGAAAAATAAACTTTATTCGAAAGGGAAAACTCCATTGGCAGATATTTGTTCTTATTTTGAGCACAAACTCACTTCATTTGAATGCATTTTTCAGAAAACAAGACTAATATCTTCAGTCATTGTTCTTCTCCTGTAAATGTATCTTGATGTAAGAATGTTTAGATATTTGTGCTGGAAAACAAGACAGAAACACTGAGGAAGAACATCATGTTTCTTCAGTGTAGTATTTATCATCATATGGCAATGGTTTGTCAAGCTACAGCTGCATTGTAAAGCATATTATGTTGCTCAGGCACTGCTTTTTCTAATCGTTTAATGACTTCTCAGAATCCCAAGGCAGTTTAGGTTAGCGTGTTTGATTATTAACTCGGTGTACTCAACTGTTAAGTTACTATACAACAAAAAACAGTGAGAATTTTGTCATGCAATAATCGATTTGTTACTGGAAAAGCTGTGATTTTGAAAACAAAAACAAACTACATTTACTGAAATGTGCAGTTGAATTAGTAGCGTTAAAGCTATGTGCTAAGCTAAATGTTGGCAAATCCTGTTATTTTCCATACAGCGCCAACTCGAGACTCTTCTCTTACATTAAAGCTCAATTAGCTGAGACGTTCATTGAGCCTTTTAGAAGCAGCTGTTGAATGTCTGAGAAATGAGGAACGTCTCGTTCTGTTCTCGCTCTGTTCAAGGACGAATCGACCGTTACCGGCTTGATTCTCATGCTAAAACTCACAATATATCAAGTCCCTCTGGATCTGCACCAAAACGTCACTTTACTAATGAAAATGAGGCCGGTTGAGCGTCGGTAACTGTTGCTCGCTCAGACCCGCTGCACAGAACGTCTCATAGAAGTTAAATGTGTTTATGAAGCGGTGAAAATATATGGATGTTATTTTTATGTGGGCTAGAATGACGTTTGGACATTGAAAGGCCTTTAATCTGTCGACTGAACTGAGAAAACGATGGTGTCGATGGTACTAATACCAGGGTACTGAATGATTACTGTATTTATGTACCATGATATTTACTTGTTTCTCCAAGGTACCATGGTACATGTCCAAAAAACCTTCAGTAATAATAACTGTGAGTCATTTTCCTTAATAAACTCACTTTACCATCCCGCCCAAATGATCTCCAGGTGTGGACTTCATGCCTGTGCCAGAAGGGCGCAGCCTGACCTGAACTCAAAGAAACCTGCTCGCTGATCAACCACAACATTTGATGAGCCCAAATGTTCTTATGGCACTTTTTCAATGTTTTTTGCAATGCAGTTCCTTGGAGAACCACAATAAATACAATGGTATATAAATAAACCTTTCCTAAAGGAATAAATCCTCTAAAAATACAATTCCTGCATTATTTACTCCCCCTTATGTTGACTTTCTTTTTGTCTGTGGAACACAAAAATAAGATATTTTTTTGTCTTTTTGGCTATATAATAAAAGGCAATGGGGTCCAAATTCTTTTGGACCCCCAACATTCTTTAAAATATCTTCTTTTGCATCCACAACTATAATTTTTGTCTTTTTAACTCTAGTGTTAGGATGCAAATTGTTCAGTATTCATTGTTTGCCATTCTAATCATGTGAAAGAGCCTGAATTCACACACTCACACTCACTTGAGCGTAGCTGAGAGATACTTAGAGATCTGATGGTCTCGGTTTACTGTAATCTTATCGCTCTTTAAGAGCTTTGCACTAACATACTCCTGTGAAAGGTTTTTGTCAGCTTCAGTCTTGCTGATTTTATGAACAAACTCATAACTGGTGATGACGAGGTGCGAAAAGACGAGAGTGTACGCCGCTTCTCTGCCCTGTCATCGTAACTCTGATGGATAAATGAGTCCCACAAAAGGACACATGCCCCTCGAGTAGTGTTCGTTTTTCCCCTCATAAAGACAAAGGTTTCTTGTAGGTTGTTCGGAGGGTGAGCGAGGTAATGAGAGGACAGAATCAACTGACACAGGTGTTTAGTCTCAAAGCCAAGGACAAATTGAACCAGCAACATTAAGAACTCACATAATTGCATCACACGGCTATTCTGAGCTTCAGTTTCCGTTCTCCCTTGCAGAAAGGTGAGCATGCGGAAGGCAAACGGAGAAAGGACTTTGTCAAGAGGTTTGTTTTGTTCCCTCTCTGGTGCCGACGACTGAAAGAGCCATTCAGAGATGTTAAGCCCAACAATTCAATGAGCTTCAATGTACAGCTGCTCTTTTGTAGCTCTTTTATGTGTTTCAAAGGAAGGGTGTGGTGGAACATATATGTCATGACGTAGCCGGAGCTGAAGGCGTGTTGGACTGATGTGCTGAAATGTTGGTTTTGGCACCGTTGTGTTGATTCTTGGAGACCCACCATTGTTAGAGAACACCGTCTTTTCCCCCATTGAAATGCGGCCTTTGTGTTGTCTAAGTCCATTCAATCAGTTATCAGCAGGTAACAAAGCAGACCACCCACCGCTGCCATCCTCTTACACTTGGCCTTCAGATGCCTGGTGAAATCAGAAAGACTGCATTCATATTATCCATTGACAATTGATTCAAAATAACAACAAATCCCAGCAAGCAATAGCCATCATTTCACCGTCTAGGTTAACTATAGAACCGATACAGTCCGGCCCTGAGTAACACACTTCTAGCCGAAATAACCTTGAATTTGGTTACATGTCATTTTTGCCAAAATAACTTGCGAGATGTACGATATTCCATCATGTAAGCAAAGTCAACAGTGATTACAAGGTGATTGGTTTCATGTCTTTGACATGTTATATGTGTAGATGACTAGTGTATTCTTGGGCTATGGTTAGACGTCTATTCAATTTTCACTGACAGCCTAATTTCGCCTTGTTTTAGTCTAGACGTCAGGGCTGTGTTTGGACGGCTATTAGACATCTTTTAAACGCAAAATTGCTTGCTGGGATACTTTATGATAGTACTTACCAGGGCACTTTCTGAGGGCAGGCACCAGGATTAAGAAAGCTATCACTTGATTAAATGTGTTGATATCTGTCTGTTTTTTCTTCTCAGCACCGGTTATGGTGAATGTCTCCTGGACGAGCCCTCAGGCCGGACGTATAACCTTCCCAACCAGCTGCCAGGTCAACTCTACAACGCCAACCGGCAGTGTGAACTCATGTTCGGTCCCGGCTACCAAGTCTGTCCGTTCATGGTACAACATCTAAATATACTTCGACAATGGATTCCAAATGTACTGTATCAGTGACACCTTAACTTACTGAGCACCCTGTTAGCAAGAGATCCTGAAACAGTGTTCCTTTGTGCATTGCTCTGTCATCCTTTTGGGAGTCTGTTTAGTCATTTAACGACCAGGGAGACTGTTTTTAGGGAACCCAACTGCTCTTAAGTTGTCCTGTTGCTCATCATTTCTTCTGGTGATTTGGTTCTTGTAGTCTCAAAGCTCATTTAACTAACCATCTGAACCCATTGTCCATACTAGTGACTCAACTGTATTTAGCTTTGTACCCAAGTCAAGGGAACTTACAGGTACTTGGGATGGGTTTAATAATATTCAAGTCATTATTTCTTCCCATTATTTTTTCCCTAGTCATTGGATTCTTGTAGTCTCACAGCTGAATTAACTAACCATCTGAATCCATACTAGTGACCCGACTATATTTAGGTTTCTAGCCGAGTAAAGGGAAGTCTAAGGTACTTGAGAAGGGTTAGTGTAACAATGTTCAAGTTCAGGGAAGAAAGAGGCGGGAACTGGTAAAAGTTCAACGTAAAACTTTAATCACAAAATAAACAAATTGAAAGTAAAGCGGCAGCCCCTCATGGACGTCTGCCGCATATAAACATAATAAAACAGAACATAAACATCCCAGGCCTGGTCCTCTCTGGTCCTTTACTGTCGTCACTCCTCCTTTTATCCTTCCTGAGCTCCTCCGTGGGACTAGAGTCCAGTGTGGCACTCATTAGCACTTGCGTATCCAGCCTTGCTCCGTTCCCACGGCTCTTGGCCTGCCCTGCTTGCTACAGTTAGATTTACTATTGTTCAAGTCTTTATCTCTGCAGTTTCTGTCAGGACTACTATCGTCAAATACGATTGACAATTATCATACAGTTTGGATTGGCGGTCTGGTTCTGCTCTGGGCAGCCTAGCATGGATAAGAGCAGGAGAGCAGCAATAACCCCCCTTAGGGTGAACAGAACAGAACCAAGGATGGAGGAGGGTAACTAGCTCCTGAGAAACGCGTAGCTGCTGATAATACTGAAGGAGCTTATATATGGATGCTGTGATAGGCCTATAGGTAGACGTGGATCAGCTGATGCGAGCTTGACTAACGTGACCTGCCAGAACTGACGCTACCCTTGGTTTTCCTGTTGTTCATTATTTCTTCTGGTCAATGGGTTCAAGGGAACTCTCGGGTACTTGGGAAGGGATTGATTTACCAATGTTCAAGTCATTGTTTCTCCAGTTCTGACTGAAGTGACTCTTGCCGATTGCAGAAACAGTGCAAGCGTCTCTGGTGCACCAGTGCGGAGGGCGATGTCGGATGTCGTACGCAACACATGCCTCTCGCTGATGGGACCGAATGTGGCTATGGAATGGTAAGACACTTTCCCTACGCTTCCATCCCTGTGTTTTTGTCTGGCGGTCAGTCGTGCGTTAAACTGAAATGTCAAAGCTGATGAGGATGGTAATGTGAGCTTGCATAGCTGGTTTACTTCGAGAACTCATTCTTGCCTGTGACATTAGCAGCCTAAACACTGAGTCAGATTCATTTAGGGGTATTTGTTTAATCCCACGTCTAACAAACTGGAACGACAAGAGCTACAAGATAATCTGTGAAAGAAAATCAGTTGGCAGAATATAGTGGGTGTACATAAACTGGAGAGTCTGTCCTGTAGGTATCGTGATCTTAGCTTGTTTTCTCTCACCTCTCGTATGCAATGCTAATTAGCCACATTTAGTTCATTGCTGCTGGATCTTTGAGAGCTGAGAACCGAGGTGAAGTATCAAGCCTTTGAAACCAAACGCCACCCGCAGCTCACCTTGTTGTGAACCCGTGACCCCCAAACCTCTTTACGATGTGGGTGAGTGGGTCACTGGTCAGAGGAGTTTTAGAGAGTCTTGTGTTTAGAGCAACACAAAAGACACTACATTCAGAGAAGAGAGCTGCAGAAGGAGGGGGTCCGTTTTCCTTCTTTTTAACCCTTTAACTGCAGGGAAACTACTGGAACAAGCCTTTCTGAGTGAATCAAATGTTAACTGAGGTAGGCAGTATCTTAATCCAACCAAAACAACCTCAATCAGGCTAGTGGATGGGAAAGCTGAAACCTTTCTCGTTCTCATTAACCGTGGGACTGCCGTGCAGTACGTGAAGCCCTGTGGAGGAAGGAGAGCGAGGAGCGTTTGTTCGTTGTTCTCGGTGTCGTCTGATTAAAGCCACAAGGGCATGAAAGAGTTCATGTCCGTGTTAAACTTATAATCATTGCTCGTTAGCAAAACAGACCTCCCATTTTGACTAGTGCTTTAATCGTATATCTATTAATCCTTTAGTGTTCTGGTGACTAATGTTTTAATAAAAGCAGTGTTCGCTCAAACTAACAACATGAAGAGATTTATGTGAAAAGATTAATTTGGGGATGAATTATCTTGTGGTTTGCAAACAGTTTCTCTTCAGGATCCAGAATTTACATTAGATGGCAATTCAAAATTAGAGCCAAACTTGCATATCATACAAAAGTAAACAATAATGCTATTTTATTGTCTAATAATCATTTTGACTCAGTGTTGAAACAATTTCATGGCAGGTTTTTCATTGTTGTTTATATTTTATTACTTTATTTAATATATTATTATATTATAAAATAATATATAAATAAAATTATATATTATTTATATATTATTTACACATTTATGTCACAATAATATAAATTATAATGTTATTAATACTTTGAGCTTTTGATTTGTTTATGCCTCTTATATTATGCTGGTTTCATACACTAGTCTACCAAAACTAATATCAATACCAATAATAATATCCTTATTTCCTCTTATAGTTAATGCCATCTGGGTCACATTTCCTAAAACTGCACATTTATTCATGGTCAACCAGTGCATGTTGACATCTTGTTTAATTTGACAAGCTTCTTCCAAGTGACAGATGAATGTGAGCCAAACTTCCGATCAGATGCATGGATTTTCAACAGAATAGATAGGAAGTGATTCATACTGCGTTTTTTATATACAGGACTTTGCTGTCCGAGTTCTTATATTATATAATTTGCTGATTGAGAACTGAATCACGACCCACCAGTTTAGGAGTGTTGTTATATTTCATGCCAAGCGGAATAGTTACTGCGTGACTCTTTACAAAAACAGGGACACAAAGGGTCTCTTTTGTCGGGCTCCTACCCCTCGTGGCCCCTGCACCTTTGTTTGTGGTGCTGAGTGCCTGGTGTCACCTCCTCATGGGGCCGTTTGAAGTGGCAGAAGTTGAAAGAAAAGTGGCTCTCGGTCTCGGCTCACCTGCCTGTCTCGAGCTCTTTAATGTGGGAAGGTCCTCACGAAGGCTTGTTCAAAATATCTTTCTCTGTCTCTCTTCTCTCTCATTTATCTCCAAACATCGGCCGTTTGATCCCGTTTAAGCTGGTAAATGGACCACTATGTACATAAATGGTACTCGGGAAATGCATGAGTTCTACCAGAGCTGCAGAAGAGCGACGTGATGGACCCATAATTGCTTTGATTCTTTGTGGTCCCCTAAACTTTCCCCCTTGTCCCTCGGCCTCTCTCTGTCCTTGATTCCCTCTCCTACAGTTTCCCTCTCGTTCATCCTCTGTCTCGCAGGGCACTGGAGTGAGTAATGTGGTCACATGACCCCAGCGGCCTGTCTGTCATCCGGCTCAGTGAGCCCTGTGCTAACAAGGGCGTCCCATCACTTGCCATCTATAAATACCAACACCTCCCTCCCTCCCTTCGCAGTGAGAGAGCACAGGCTTGGGCCGCAGTCAATCCGGCTCCTGTCATCTCCAGGGAGAGCGGCCTGCCATCCAGAGGCTCCTTTGAAGAGCCCAGCCGGCATGAATACGTGCTCCCGGGAGGCTTTCAAAAGCACAAGAACTGGGGGGGTTTGAAGACCCTGTTGAGAAGACCACCAACATGGTTTTGTGTTTAGATCCTGGCATCCCAATCAGGCTTCTTAACTTGCTTAACAAGCAAAACTCAAACTTGGTCTTTAATTGAATTGTCTTAAGGGGAACTGCGTGCAAAGTTAGCAGGGAGCTGGAGGTAAAACATAAACTAGCTGGTTAACTGAGTCTGTTTATTGGTGCAGAATGGCCAGTAAATATGCTTGTAAATGAAGTGCTTGTATTTGCACTGATTATTATCAGCTCTTCCCATAAGATTTATGTCTGGAGGTACAAAAGACACTATTGTGTATATAACCTGTCCTCGTCTCAGTCTTATAAACATCTGGCATTAGAGAATTTGCTGTAGAGTTCCCAATAAGGCTTTTTAACTATATTATACTTGCTTAACTAATGATCCACAAACTTGGTCTTTAATTGAATTGTCTAAAGGGGAACTGTAGGTAAAGTTAGCATGGAGCTGGTGGAGATTGTGTTGTTAAACTAGCTGGTTAATGGAGTCCATTTATAGGCACAGATAAATATGCTTGTAAAGGAAGTGCTTGTATTTGTTTCCTCTTCCAATAAGATTTATGTCTGGAGGTACAGTAGACACTATTGTGCATCTAACAGTGTATATAACCTGACCTCGGTTAAAGAAAAACACTGTCTTGTAAACACCAGAGGGTCTCATTTATAAAAATGTGCGTAGGATCCTTACTAAAAATGTATGTGCGCCCAAAAGCCAAATAATATTCAAAACCGTGTGTACGCCAGAACCTGCGCAGAATTCCCTTTATAATCCCAGTCAGCGGAAGATTGTGCGCACATGCGTCTCCTCCCCGAAATAACCAAATATGAGCTGACGACGCCTCGTTTTACTATGCAGATCCTCATCTGCATATCATTTGCATATGCATATTCATCCACGTTTAACGGTACAAGACATTAGGAAAATATGAGATATGGATGTGCCGTCACACACATTACATTGCTAAAAATCATTTAGTAGCCGATCCTTGCCTTGTTTTTGAATTAATAAATCAAAATAGTATAAAATACATTTCAGAAAAAGTTTTCCTCTGGCACAATAGTATTTTTAATTGCTTTATATTTTTAATGGAAACAAATAGGCCTTATTGTACATTATTGATAATTATTTGCATGAAAATATTCTGCTATTATAACACGCTAAGCAAACATTAAAACACAGCATGCAACAGGAAAAGTGTTCAAAAGCAGCGCATACACTACAAATATGTCTATTTATTAGAATATTAAAAATGTTGTAACTTCTCGGTAATGATTTCAGGTAATTTAAGTGCTTAACTCCATTAATGAGAATGGCATGTTTAATCTAAATGATTCAGATCAGAAATCATTCTTTCATTTATTTAAACTGTTGTTGTGAACATGCACTGTATTTATGATTAGGACTCATAATGAATAATAAAGTAGTTTTCCTTCATCTGTTTTTACAGTGGCATACGCCTGTTTCAGGGCCTGTTTTGTGCGACGCAACGCTTATAAATGAAGGCGTTGGAGAATTTGCTTTAGATCCCGAGTTCCCAATAAGCGGGATAATGTACATCCAGCCGGTTGTTATCTCAGAATAAACCCGACAGGGTGATCAGGATCAGGTCTTCATCAGCCTGAACACACACACAGACACACACACACACACACACACACACACACACCTGAAGGGGTTTATTCTGAGATAACAACCGGCTGGATGTACATTATCCGCTTATTACACAGATATTTGCCACATAAGTACATAATGAGACACAAAATATTAAACCTGTGTTTCTGTATTTAGCGGCTGTTATCTGGGAATATCACACCGCTGGATGGCACGATTGACCAATCAGAATCAAGTATTCCACAGAGCCGTGTAATAAGGCTTTTTAACTTGCTTAACTAACGAACCTCAGACTTGTTTTTTAACTGAGTTGTCTAAACTGATGTTTTCAGCAGAGGAACTGCAGGGAAAGTTAGCAGTATGGCGTTAAACTGTGAACTAGCTGGTTTATTGGTGCAGAGTGGAAGTATCCCCATAAAGACGCTTATAAATGTAACAGTCAAATCATAATTGTGCTTGTATTCGGTTCCTCTTCCAATAAGTTTAGTGTACAATAGACACTATTGTGTGTGTAACCGGCTGGGCTCAGCACCACCCTCACCTGTCCTCGTCTCGGCAGTTAGAGAAGGAGACTGGAGTCTTGTAAACGTCTGGCGTTCGGAGGGTTTGTTGGCGCGGTTCTTCGGGTTGGCTGGGGTTCCTGGCAGCGGTTCTGGGATCGGTCCTCCTCCGTGTGGATCACTTGTCACTTCTCCTGCTAATCTGCACGTGTTTCCAGTATCGGCGGCCCGGGATCTGATTTTCAGCATTGAGTTGTTGGTGCGGTTGCCAAGTAATGGAGGTGAAGGTGCGATCGTGGCTGATTGTCGCTTGTCGAATGGCTTGCGTA